TCGAGTTATTCGGAAAAGAAATATTAAGGAACCAGCCCTTCAACTCCCTAATGGGGACGTTTAGCGAAAAATGAAAGATTGCATATTGTTCAGAACATGATTTTGAACATCTTTTGTTCAATATTACTTATCAAAATATTTCTCACTTTCGAGATACAAAGCGTCAAAGATTTAGCATTGTGGCCCATTGTGGCCCCTAATTATGTAATGTACGACTTTAAAATCATAATATACAGTTGTAGATTGTTGAAATAAACATTTTTGCTTCAGTAATGTATAACAAAATATTGACTGTTAAAGAGTTGTCGAAAAAAGACTTTTAGCCCCTTTTGGCCCCTAATTTGAGTACCCAGCCCTTTTTCCTGGATTTCATTTTGAAGCTCGTAGGATTTTGAGCACTTTTTGTTCAACAACTATTCAGAGATTCTTTTTCGTTTTTGAGTTATTTGCAAAAGAAATATTTAGGGGCCAACCCTTCAACTCTCTAATGGAGACGTTTAGCGAAAAATGAAAGATTGCATATTGTTCAGAACATGATTTTGAACATCTTTTGTTCAATATTACTTATCAAAATATTTCTCACTTCCGAGATACAAAGCGTCGAAGATTTAGCCTTCTGGCCACTTGTGGCCCCTAATTATGTAATATACGACATAAAAATCATAATATACAGTTGTAGATTGTTGAAATAAACAGTTTTGCTTCAGTAATGTATAACAAAATATTGATTGTTAAAGAGTTGTCGAAAAAAGACTTTTAACCCCTTTTGGCCCCTAATTGGAGTATCAAGCCCCTTTTTCTGGATCTCATTTTGAAGCTCTTAGGATTTTGAGCACTTTTTGTTCAACAACTATTCAGAGACTCGTTTTCGTTTTTGAGTTATTTGCAAAAGAAATATTTAGGGGCCAACCCTTCAACTCCCTAATTGGGACATATAGCGAAAAATGAAAGGTTGCATATTGTTCAGAACATGATTTTGAACATCTTTTGTTCAATATTACTTGTCAAAATATTTCTCACTTTCGAGATATATTGCATCAACGATTTAGCATTCTGGCCCCTTGTAGCCCCTAATTATGTAATATACGACATAAAAATCATAATATACAGTTGTAGATTGTTGAGATAAACATTTTTGCTTCAGTACGCAGCTAGGATAAGACTGCGCGTAAAATATCAAACTGTTTAAACTGTATTTACTTCTCTGAACTACCTAGATATGACGTCATAATAGAATATGACGTCAAGTCACTGCATGCTTGAGCTGACATGACGGGGAAAGTGTCATAATCATTACACGGCATGTAAATTTATTATGGGGATTTGTGTTTAATTTAAGAGTAAGGGTTGTTTTTTAAGCTTGTGTGTGCTGTTATAATGTTTAACATTTGATATTTAAATGTCTCTATTCCTTTTGCTTGTCCGATATGCATATATTCAAGCAATAGCAAAAGATTATGTTTGAAACGCTCCCCTTACACTTCCGTAGACAGAGTTAGAATTTATGAATCGTGTTTATATTGGACTGGCACAAGTGAAAGACAAGGATAAATTGAAGATAATCTGCGTGAATCTAAAAGAGAATTATGTCTTCTAACTGAATTTTGCTGGGGGATTGTATGTAGTTTATGTAACACAATTGGACCATACCGTATATATAAATAAACTACATATTAATATATATTGTGTTTCGTATATTTGTTTAATAAGGACATATGTGTATAAGGCATAATAAACCTTATATGTCCTTGAGAGCCATTTAGGTTCTTACGCACATTATTTGCACTTTATTTATCATTTACTAATTATGTGTTTGATGTAGTTAATATTGTTGTAAATATTAATGTTAATTATTATTGGTCAGCGTTGATGAATTATCATAATTAAATCAAAGATCAATATCTGAGCATTTACGTGGTCAGTATCCATTATTGGTATTTAATAGTTAATTGAATCGGAAATGGCTTAATAATATTAACTGACCATAATCAATAATTAATATTAGGATGATTTATATATTCTAAGACTGGACAGGCGGAGGACAGAACAAGAACTTTATACAAACGTTTCAGACGTACCACTATACAAACTTTGTGCCCCCCTGTACTAGTTACTGGTTTGGCTTCCAGTGGATATACCAAGTACTAACTCTATCATATTTTAACTGTACCAGTGCTGATAACATTGTTCTAACTGTATATATGCATGGTGTCTATATTGTGCAACAGTGACATAATAAATATATTATATAACCAAATCAAAAGCATTGTGTTATAGACGTTCATTTGGTGCCGTGACCAGGATTTGGTTTTGTTTTCGAACGGGTGACCACTGGAATTCGAAAACTGTAACTTCTTCTCCGTTCTGTAAGTATTTATTTTCTCTACCATAATCTCTTGTAAAAATGTCTGAGCAAGAATTTATAACTGCTGTAAAGGGTCTTTCAATAAAGATGGACAGTTTTAATCAAAATTTGGGAACTAATCAAATTACACCTTTTGATGGGGATCCAAAATTATTTAAGAGATGGATTAAAGCGATTGAAAAACATGCTTTTCTAGAGGGGGTTCCTGCTGAAAATGTAAAAATGATAGCTTTCAAAACTAGTACAGGGGCGGTCAGTGATTTTATTCAAAGGTATTTCAAGGCAAATCAGAGGGTAGAATGGGATACCCTCAAGGCAGAACTCTCCATGAGATTTGCAGAAATTACAGATTCGCAGCATGCTTTTATGCTGCTGAGACAAGTTAAGCAAGAGAAATTTGAAAATGTACAGATCTTTGCTGAACGGTTGCTCTCCATAGCAGAGGAAGAATATCAAGGTGCTCAAGATATGCGAGTCACAGAAAACCAACTTGTTGGGTTCTTTGTCGATGGTCTGTATTCAGACAGATTAAAAATAAATGTCATGCAAGATAATCCTGCTACCATGCAGGATGCAATAAATTCTGCAAGAGCCGAATTTAATTTGCAACAAAGGTTTCAATTAAGAACTGGGAGAAATTATTTTGCCCCGGCAACCTTCACGAGAGAACCGATGGAAGTTGACCATTATAGGTATAAGAGGGGAAACAGACATAACGAAGGACAACGACCAAGACAGTTTGTCAAAAAGACATTCACCCCTAAGAAAGTTTTAGCAGTTGAGACAAAACGATCTCGCAGTGAAGTTGTATGTTGGACCTGTAATAAAAGAGGACACTACAGTCCTGAATGTCCAAATAAAAAGAGAAAAATTGAAGCTATTAATGCTCTACCAGCAGAGGCTGAAGAAGAAAATTGGGAAGAGTTAAACTAAGAAGCTCCGCCCAAAATGGGACCTTTGGGGGGAGCTATTTAAAGAAAAAGAAATATTTAAAGAAAAAGAAAATTTTTGAAAATGTTAAGAATCTCCCCACTTTGACTGTTAATTCAATAGAAAATCTAAATTCATGTATTATCAAAATTGGGAAAAGAAGATTTAGACCTCTTATAGATACAGGCGCCGCTGTTTCATTGGTTAGTTCAAATGTTTATTGGTCCCTTTCTAATCCTTTTAAACTTTCAAAACCAAAAGTGAATTTGAAATCTGTAAATGGCGCTGATTTGAAAATTGAAGGTTGTACTCAAATTGAATTTGTTGTAGGAGGTCTCACAATGTCTCATCAATTTTATGTTGTTCAAAATATAAACAGGTCTTTTATTTTGGGTAGAGACTGGCTAGTCCAAAATGGTGTCCGACTTTATTTTGATCTTGGCAGTTTACGTATTGGTAAAACATATGTTCCAATGGTTGAAGATGTTCACATTGCATCAATTTTGAGAGCTTCAAAGAAAACAATTTTAAGACCGCAATCGGCGACAGTTTGTTTTGCAAAACATAAAGATCACGCAAATTTTCTAAACAAAGTTGTTGAAGTAAATGCCTTAGATAAAGGTTTCATTATTGACGAACCAGGTCTTATGATAGGAAACATAATCGCGAAAACAAAATCATCGCGTAAAATACCGGTTTTAGTTGTGAACAATACTAATAAAACTTACAAACTCAAGAGAGGGTGCATTATTGGTCGAATAAATGTTGTAGATTATCAATCGATTAACATCTCGGTTCTTGATAAGAATAAAGAAAAAGAAAAAGAAATAAATGACTTGAAAGCAGAACTCAATGTTTCCCCAGAGCACAGAGGAAGAATTGAAAAACTTTGTATGCAAAATAAAGATCTATTTGCTAAAACAGATGCAGACTTAGGGCATACTAATACGATCAAAATGAAAATAGATACAGGTGACCATTTACCAATTAAAATGAAAACGTATCGAACTCCGTTGAATAAACGAGTGATCGTAGATAAAGCAATCGATGAAATGTTAAGCGCAAACATAGTGCGGCGTTCAAAATCACCTTGGAGTTTTCCTATCATGGTAGTAGATAAGAAAGTTGGAACAAAACGTTTTTGTGTAGACTTTAGACAACTAAATAAGATCACAAAAACAAATTCGTGACCCTTGCCCTTGATTGACGATTTATTAGATCAGTTAGGAAAATCAAAATATTTTACATCATTGGATTTGAAGTCGGGTTATTGGCAAGTACTTATGGACGAAGCAGATAAAGAAAAAAACAGCTTTTGTGCGTCATAGAGGTTTGTTTGAATTTAATGTAATGCCTTTTGGCCTTTGCAATGCTCCACAAATATTTTCAGAACTTATGAGCACAGTACTAGCAGGTCTAGAATCATTTGCTTTGGCTTATTTAGACGATATTTTGATATTTTCAGAAACCATTCAAGATCATGAAAAACATATTCAAATTGTATTGGAACGACTTAAAGAACATGGGTTAAAATTGAAAGCCAAAAAGTGCAGTTTTGTTCAAGAGAAAACTCAGTATTTAGGGTTCATTATTGATAAAGAAGGAATAAGACCTGATCCGAATAAAGTAGCTGCAATTCGCACTTTACCTTCACCGAGTACTGTAAAAGAAATACGCAGTTTTATCGGTATGTGTAGTTATTACCGTCGATTCAAAGATCGCGGAACCCTTGGTATCATTAACAAAGAAATATGCACGATTCAAATGGAATGACGATTGTCAAAAAGCTTTTGATTTCTTAAAAGAGAGTCTAACTCAAGTGCCACTTTTATCAATTCCCAATCCAAATAAAGAGTATATTCTCTACACGGATGCTTCTGATACAGCAATAGGCGCGTGTTTAGCCCAACCACTAGATGAAAACGAACAGGAAAATGAAGTGAAAATATTGGGTATTAGAAATGAAAAACCTATTTGTTATCTTTCACATAAATTAAGTGACACCCAAACGCGATGGTCTACAGTAGAAAAAGAAGCATATGCAATTCACTTTGCACTCCAGAAATTTGATCACTATTTGCACAATGCTAAATTTGTCATTCGAACTGATCACAAACCATTAAAATACTTGTTAGAAGCTCCAATGAAAAATAAGAAAATCCAGTTATGGGCTTTAGGTATCGCCGGATACAATTGTCAAATAGAATATATTCCGGGAACTGAAAATACTTGCGCAGATTTGCTATCTAGAACTCCATAAACAAACGCGTTAATCCCATCTGAAAATGAAATTAAAAATGAACAGAATGAACCGGACGTGCACGAGAACTCTTTAGAAATCAATTTCATCAATTCAAACGCGATAAATCCTAAAGATTATGTACGTTATGACATAGATGAGCCTGACATTCCGTTTAAACCTCAAATCAAGTTAAGTTAAAGCACGGAAGTAAATGTAACTGAAGAACAATCTAAAGATTCTGAAATAATTCGCATTGCCCGTCAATTGCAACAGGGCACAGCAAAGAAATCAATAAGTGATAAACATCTCATTATTGATGAAGTGTTGTATTATCTGTCGAATGCCGATAACGATCCGATCATAAGACTCTACGTGCCAGCGCATTATCGACTACCTGTAATTAAACAGTATCACGATGATAATGGTCATTTAGGAATCGACAAAACATTCGACGCGATCAGACAAAAGTATTACTGGCCTAATTTGTATAAAGAATTGTATGACTATGTCGGTAAATGTGTAAAGTGTGCTACACGAAACCTTAAAAAGATAAAGCCGACAATTCAAGAAACAGATGTTCCGCCATTTCCATTTGCAAAAATTGGTTTAGATCTATCAGGTCCGTATCCGAAGTCATTATCGGGAAACAAATATATTGTCGGATTTGTAGATCTTTACTCTGGCTGGCCTGAAGCTTTTGCAGTCCCAGATAAAACCGCCGAGACTATCGCACATTTGATCATTGAAGAAATATTTCCAAGATTTGGTGCTCCCTTAGAAATTATAACTGACAATGGCACGGAAAATGAAAATAAGGCAGTTAGAGAAACTTTGAAAGAATTAACTATCTCGCATGTAAAAACGTCATACTACCATCCTCAAAGCAATGCAAAAGTTGAAAGATTCCATCGAACACTTCATGATGTATTGGCTAAAAAGTTAGAAGACAATTTAACAACTTGGGATATTTTTCTTAATCAAACAGCCGCAGTTCGATTTAACATCAATGAATCATCATCTTTCTCTCCATTTTATTTACTTTATAATCGAGATGTAATTATGCCAATAGACAATATTCTGCAACCGCGCCGCAGATATATGGGAGAAGATCCACATAAAATCGCGTTAGAACAACAGCATAAATCCTTTACAATGGTCCATAGAATTTTAAAACGATCTAAACGAAGACAAGCAAAATATGCAAACAGAAATGCGGTAGATGTTGAATTAAAGATCGGGGACCCAGTTTACTATAAAAATAATCAAAGACGGAGTAAGCTTCAATCTAAATGGAAACCATTCTATAGAATAATTGAGCAAATTTCGCCGGTAACATTTAAAATCAAATGTCAATTAGATGGCAAAGTGACGAAAGCGCATAAAGAATTACTGCGATTAGCGAAAATCGATGAATGGGAAATACCTCAAAATGACCACGGAAAACCTCTGCGTAAAGCCGCTTATGTAATGCCCCCAGAATCAGAATCGGAATCTGATGATCACAAATCAGACAATAACGTCTCTACAAACCAAGAGTTCGAAAATCAAAATATAAAAGATGAAACTAACACCTTAAATGATGCTGTAAACCCAAACAGAGATTACATGTCAAACAATGAATCAGAAAATGAACCAATATCAATGAGTCATGATAGTGTAAGTAGCAATGACGAAGAAAATATACCCCTTGCAAAATTAGCCCAAAAATATAGAAGGGAAAGAGAAAACTCTTCTTCTGAAGATGACATCCCGTTATATGAGCTTTCTAAACGTCTAAAACAAAACAATAATGACAGACAAATGATCGAGAAAGTGACGATTCACTTATGGATATTAACGAATGTCAGATGAAGCGTAAAAAGACAATTAAGAAAAAACATAGAGGAAATAGAAATGATATTCGAACTCTCTTTAAAACTCTTTCAAAATTAATATAAGAGTATAAATGTACGCAATTTTCTATTCCTTACTGCATCAAGCAAATTTCGCTTTCGTATCTTGGTTATAGTAAGGAACTGAAAGTATAAAGCTATACAAAACCACAGTTGATGTATATGTGATATCTTTGTTCTTGCATTAAGACAAACTGAAAAATAAAAACAAAATTCTGTAAAGTAATTGTTAAACTACGAATGATATTACCAATTGCTAAATATATAACTGATGGACATTGGATAGTGTCTACCCAAACTGAACTGCCATTTGTGAAAATTTCTGAACATGGTCATACTACACTGACTACTGATTTTGTTGCTAGACCTCTTATTCAAGTTCTTGTATTGCAAAAAGCTTATGCTGTCACAAATGAATTAACTCTCCCTCCCCATTATCATCAAGAAAGTAGATCTAATATCACTAATACCTTGCAAACTTTTGTGAGTTCATATAATATTCTTCTGTTAAGCTTTGGAAGCCTCTGCACTCAAAATTTGATAATTTGTCTGATGTCAAGATACCTGCTAAATTACAAGACCTTGAGACAGTACCAATGGACAGACTGGTTAATGAATTGACAAGTATTGATTCTGTTAATCCTCTAACTAATGCGGGTTGGACAAATTGGGTTTATTCTATTTTAATAATCAGCATCGCTTTAATCCTGGGGATTCTATTTATTATCTATTATAAATGTAAAAGGCGTTGGTCAAGTAGATTTTGGCAAAAGGTTAAGAAAGCAGGCGGAGAGAAGAAACAACTCAAATTGGTGGCGATTGAATACCCTAGTGAAGATAACACTAGCAGACACAATAAGGCATCTGCA